GAATGTTGTAACTCGGGTTTCACTCATGTTGTTTACACATTCCTCACGTAATCTTCTTTAGAATTACAAAACAGGGGCAACAGTCGAAACTCTCGCTTCGTAGAACAAGGTATTGTCACATGTATGAGTGACTCTCGACGGGGTTTTGGATTGGGTATTGGATTTATTGACATAAAACGCGTAATTACACTTAATTATAGCACCATCGCTTATTTCCACAATTTACAGTTCACCATAGCAAATGCTATGTCTTTTCCAACCCACATTTTCTTTACTAGCAGTTGTCTGGTAACGGCTCTAACAATGGCTATTCATCTCTGAATGACGGTTCCCTCCCAAATGAACAAAATCAAAGTCGAAGTAGCTTTACGACTGATTGTTTACCGCCCAACAGTTCGTCTTGGCTTCAAGTCCCTTCAGACTCACGAACAGAGAATTTTTTTTCAACTGAACCCTTGCAGTCATAGTCCTTATGTAACAACTTCTCTAACGAGAAGATGGGTTTATCTCTTGTGAACAGACTTGGCCTTTCGTCAAGAATTCGTATTCTTCTTGCCGCACATTATACAAATCCTCAATTAGTACAGGATTTGCAAAGCAGATCATATTTATCTTACGTATCTTATGCTACAACGGCAGTTTAATCACTTGAACGGTCTCAAGCTTGACTACCGACAAGATTAAGCCTCTTATATTTCCCATGTCTGACTTCGCCTTGTCGTATGCTGCGAACATGTTCATTCTCATAATTTTGTATAACTTCAGCTTGTTGCCTGCACAATTTTGTTACATAATCGTATACATACGGAAGTTTGAAAGCCGTAGCAAAACGCGGACCTGTGTGCTCTTGGAATATTTCTAGTAGTGTGGAGAAATTTGTTTTGTAGGCGTTGTAATTTTAAGAGGTGTGTGTCTGCTAATAATTCCCAGGAGGGAGTGATCTAATCAGCGATTTATGGAGGGTCAGTATATCGTTGGGCTTGAAAGATCATTTCTGAATATGGAGCAGACGCTATTAAACGTTCTGAAGGCCGTGGCTTCAGTCATTTCTGTGTGTAGTCTTCATGTAATCCTCTTGTCAAAGATTACACCTAGATATTTTACATGATTGACAAAGGGAATATTCCATCCATTCAATGTAAGACAAGCCTCGGGGGGCCTAAGTGTATGAGAAAAGTAGATGGCCTTAGTCTTATCTTCATTGACATTTACGATCCGGCTATCACGCCACGTCGCAGTAACATTGAGACCTTGAACTAAATCAAAGTCAAGGCCAAAGTCACATTGCGACTGACGGTCAATTAGTCAGTCTGTCTTTGTGTCGAGCCCTATCTGGGGCTCGTGATGAGATATTTATTACTGTTTGACTGTCATGGTCTTGTCTTTGTGGGGCGCCATTTCTGACGAGAGGACGGGTCTATTTTTATTTTGCCAGAGTCATTGTCTGCAGTAATAAGTCATTTGTTATAACGTAAAAGATATTTACATTTAAATGTTAAACATGTTAATAAATGTATGGAACAACACATACAGGGCATATGTCAGTCCAGGTTCAGTACAGCTATGCCATATTTCTAGTAGCTTCCGCTACAACGACAGTCTAGTCACTTGAACGGTCGTATGCCTGACCGCGGCAAAGTTTAAGCCTCTTATACTTTCTATGTCGGGCTTCGCCTTGTCTTAAATTAGGAACATTCTAATTATCATGATTTTGTATGACTTCTGCTTGTTGCCTGCATAATTTTGTTATATAATCATATACGTACGGGATTTCGAAAGCCATGTGAAAATCGCGAACAGGTGTGGGCCTTGGAAAATTGCCAATGGTGCGGAGAACCTTATTTTCCAGGCGCTGCAATTTCACTAGAGGGGTGTCTGCCGAAAACTCCCAGGGGGGACTAGCATAAGTCATTACAGATCTAATGAGAGTTTTATGGAGGGTCAGCTTAATGGTAGCGCTTAATCGCTCACTTTTGGATAAGAAATATGTTCTGAAGGCCTTGGCATCAATCATTTCTATGTGCAGTCTCCATGTAAGTTCCTTAGAGAAGATTATACCAAGATTCGAAGCCAGCACCTCCCGATTGCAAGTCTAGATTATTACCTCTAGACCCACCTGATCGCCGGTCACTTTAGCCGAGCGGTCTAAGGCATGTACTGTCTTCGCTCGCTTGGAAACCGGGATGGTGGGTTCGAATCCCACTCAGGGCATGGATGGTTGTGTGCGTTTTTCTGTGTTTGTGTACAGGTAGAGGCCTTGCGACGAGCTGATCACCCGCCCAAGGAGTCCTACCGAATGCGTAAAATCTAGAAAAATCGAAGTGAACGGAGAAGTTCATGGAGGTAGGCCTAGGCCCACTGGGGCTGTAGTGCCATGGAAAAGCAAGAAAAAAAAGACCCACCTGATCGGTGACTCGGTTGAGTAGTCTCGTTTATTATATATTAGTGCATTAGGTGAAGATAAAAATTTCGGATGTTGTTACGAGCAGTTTTATAACGTTTAACTCTTGGTTACCAGCTTTAATTTCGAAGGTGCCAAATGGCCATTTTGAGTTGCAAGGGACGTTATTCTTCCTTGGGTAAATAGTGTACAGAAATATTCCGTATGATTTATAAGGTAGAAAAAATCTCCTCTAAATGTTTCCTCAATGTGATTTCTTTTCTTCATCTCGCTCCAACTGTGGAGCATAGGGCTGATTTCTGAGGTTCATTGATCATTTTACAGGCGGTAGGACTCCTTGGACGAGTGATGAGCTCGTCGTAAGGTCTCTACCGAAACACAAGACAACACAAACACAGAATAAACACATACACATAAAAACATCCATGTGTTGTATTGGATTCGAACCCACGATCCCAACTTCCGAGCAAACGAATACAGTTCATGCCTTAGACCGCTCAGCTACCGTGACCGGATCCTCACTATGTACTTGACTTAAAATGGCAAAATATTTCGCGTGCTGTCAGACATAGCTAAGTTTGTAAAAGGTCGAAAAGTTCCACAACTGGCATTTGTAGGGTCAAACTGTAGTACTTACCCGAACTTCGCAAAGTTTGTCCAAAGGCTGAGCATAAGTTCAATCACCTCACTATCATTAGGAGTGTATGNAAAAGACTCTACATTTATAATTTACGATCACGGAGGAACGTTGAAAAATTATGTGGCAGAGCCTAATGTTATCACAAATTCCTCAGAAAAGAAATAAAAGTTATCCCTATGCTTAGCTAATTAAGCACTACGCCATGACGGCGTATGGGGAAGTCGATGTATAGATCCACTTTTTCTTCACTTCGGCACTAGCTGGAGGCAAGTGGTCAGCTTCACGTACTGGCCGCTTTATCCCCGGAGAATGAGCCCACCGGTACTCATGCGATAGGAGGTTGGGTGGGCACTTAATTCGGTCTGGATGACGTGGAGAAGAGAAAATTGACACTACAGAGACTCGATCTCCTACCCCTCGGTCGTCCAGCCCGTAGCCAGTCGCTATACCGACTGAGCTATCCAGGCTCCTCAGAAAATAAATAAAAGATGTAATTTTCGGAAATTAACTTCGCGGAGAATGAAGGCTACGTGCTTACCATAGTTTCGGAGTGATGTAATGGTAGTTGTTGAGTATAATCCTCTATACGCAAAATTGTACCAGAATATTTCATCATGTCCCACAGCAAGNTAACTGGCCATCAACCAGGGGAGTTACCTCACTTTGTTCCTCGCACCAGAATAGCAGGCAGTCAGGATACGGCCTTGCGGTTTAAAACAGGGACAGGACACAGAAAGATAAACACAACAAGGAGCATAACATACCAACCACAACACAAACACACACACATCAGAGGGACCTGCATATGCATCAACAAAAAGTGAAATCAGCGATTTCCTCAATAGTCATACTTTTAACGCCTGATGATGAACATATTGGCCGAAACATGTAGTGTATTTTAAAACTTTAAAAGATCCTTTCTAAGATTCTGTTCCAGCAGGCGCTTGGAGAGACTGAGAAAAATATCGTAGTCAAGATAATGTCCTGTAAGATTTGAGGTTTTTACGGCGGTGACTATGAAGAAGCAGTCTTCTGGGATGTGGCACCGTGTAGCAGTCTGCTTGTACCGGTTCTCACGGTCTCTTCGCTTGCGGATTTTCTTATTTTTCCTTCTACCCTGAAGATGGAGGCGATACGTTCCTCCGAAACGTCGGTTAACACCACATCTACACGGTGCCACATTCCAGGAGACTGCTTTCTTCAAGATATTGTCCTAGTCAAGATTCGGACTGGTCATCTTGGGAATATTAAATAGTTTCTTTGGATAGTTTCTCTGTTAGTTACCCAGTCACTAACCTCTCGAGGTAACCTTGTGTGCCATAGTTAACCCTTTAGCTTTTTCAGACAAGATACATCGTACAGTTTCTGCCTTTCTATTGTTTAGATGTCTCACGAAGTATGAGTGCAATGTCCGCCATCTACGGAGTTTCTGTCGAATTACATGGTCAAAGTCTCGAGTGCTCCATGGGAACAGCTGAGAGAAAGAAACGTCACTAGAACACTTCCCGTGTCGTTTGTGCCGATTTCGTGACAAAAAAAAAATAACCTGAAATTTATAAAAGACTCTACATTTATAATTTACGATCACGGAGGAACGTTGAAAAATTATGTGGCAGAGCCTAATGTTATCACAAATTCCTCAGAAAAGAAATAAAAGTTATCCCTATGCTTAGCTAATTAAGCACTACGCCATGACGGCGTATGGGGAAGTCGATGTATAGATCCACTTTTTCTTCACTTCGGCACTAGCTGGAGGCAAGTGGTCAGCTTCACGTACTGGCCGCTTTATCCCCGGAGAATGAGCCCACCGGTACTCATGCGATAGGAGGTTGGGTGGGCACTTAATTCGGTCTGGATGACGTGGAGAAGAGAAAATTGACACTACAGAGACTCGATCTCCTACCCCTCGGTCGTCCAGCCCGTAGCCAGTCGCTATACCGACTGAGCTATCCAGGCTCCTCAGAAAATAAATAAAAGATGTAATTTTCGGAAATTAACTTCGCGGAGAATGAAGGCTACGTGCTTACCATAGTTTCGGAGTGATGTAATGGTAGTTGTTGAGTATAATCCTCTATACGCAAAATTGTACCAGAATATTTCATCATGTCCCACAGCAAGATGGGCGTCCACTGTTTCCTTCACCGGATATATGAAGTTTCGATCTGTGTATCCCTAAACACACAAAAACATTAGATTTAGTCAGAATTCGGTCTTCTGACGACATGCAGGTTGGCAGAGCTCTAACAATGTTTCGGAGAAGTCTATTGCCAAAAAGGTTAGCGTCGAATGTCAAGGAAATATGTACCAAGTTCCGAGACAAAAGTAAATGCCACCATCTTGTGAGATGAAAGCAAATTCCGCCATTTTGTAACTTGCATCTTGCACGCGCCTGTGCAGTGTACACTATATACTTTTAAGATTCCTCTGTGCTTGTGTTTTCGAGTGAAGGTTGAGACCTACCAATTGTCTAATCTCCCGTTCAAGGAGTCCGAACGAAAGCCTAAATAAAGACTGATTATATTGTGACAGGTGAACCCACTGCATGGAGAAGTCAGTTCCTAGGTAACGTATTACTCACCTCTATAATCTGATAGGCGTCCTGTTGAGAGAGGACCTTGGTTCCGTTAAGATAGAAATCTATAACTTTCTCGTACACACCGTCGGCTTGAACTTTAGTAAGATTTGGCGGGAGGAACAGGATGTTTTCGAAGAAAGTGTTGAAGTTTTTATTTATCTTGTTGCGAGCAACGTTGATGTCCAACAAAGCTGAAAAAAAAAGTTTTTTTGGAACAATTAGAATTGAGATGAAATAGTTTTCCCTATCAAAATTTCACGATTTTTTATTTGTTTTAATACAGATGTGTGCCTCGTATTTCTTCAGACATCACATTTAGTTTGGGTTTGAATGATAAGGTTCTGAAAACTTATATCTCATGAGATATTTTGCCGTGAGACCCCGCTGAAAAACCGCTGACGTTTCAGAGGAATATGTCGCCTCCATCCTCAGGATACAAGAGTAAACAAGCAGGAAATCATGGTACTAACACGACAGTGACATTTCAGATCTTAGTTTTATAGCCTGTGGCACTGTGTAACATTTAAGGCGAATTCCGGCGTTTCGGAGCAACATGCTGCTTTCTTCAAGCATTGACTATGTAGGGTCAGGATCCTGGCCTGTTTCGTCTTGTCTTCGAACCGCATTAGGACATATGACCGTACGTATATTCTGTGCCATAGATATCTTCTATGTTTTCTGAGGGATGAGCCCTTCTTTGACAAGAACAAGGATTTTTCTTTTCGTGTCCTGTTCCTTGCGTTCCTAGAGTATCCGGTTATAATCGCATATATACGCTATACATCAGAATAGAAATATATTCACTTTCATTTTATAATTTTATGATCAGAATGATAAAGTCAGGGCATGTAGTACGCGTGGGGAGAGGAGGAATGCACATGGTGGGAAGCCAGAAGGAAAGAGACCACTAGGAAAACCTAGACGTAGGTGGTAGAATAATATTAAGATGGATCTTAGAGAGAGAGGATGAAGTTTAATGGACTGGATTGATCTGGCTCAGGATAGGGACCAGTGGATATGTGTTATGAGCACCGAAATTAAGATTTGAGTCCCATAAAATGTTGGAAAATTCTTGAGTAGCTGAGTGACTGGTGGCTTCTCAAGAAGGGTTCAGCTACGTAGGGTTAGTTGTTATATAATTTCGCTCTATGTACAGAGGTTATGCTAGTGCAGGAATGTACAGCAACTTACGCCTCAATTTGCTTTTGACTTGGAATGGCAATTCGCAACACGAAGTCTAGGAAAGTGGAGATAAAATGGAGACTGGTCCTGTAAAACGGGAAAGAAGAGTAGGGAGAACTGTCCTTTTGAGGACAGCAATATCATTTGTCTCGTCAGCATAGCCATTTAAAAATCGCATTCTTAGCAAACCTCAAGTGATTGTTCTTCATACAAAATTTAAGCCTGAAACGTCTGTGTCTGCATACCTGAAAACGAGGTATCGTTACTTAGGATACATTACTTACTTACTTATTTACTTACTTACTTACTTTTTCATGGAGCTGAGCCCTTCTGGAGGAACCGCCAATTCTGCAGCTACTCAAGAATTTCCCAGCATTTTATGGAAAAAGTTCATTACCCTGTTCACAAGAGCCCTCCACTGGTCCCTATCCTGAGCCAGATCAATCTAATCCATACCATCTCAGCCTATCTCTCTAAGATCCATTTTAATACTGTCCACCCACTACACCTTGATCTTTCCAGTAGTCTCTTTCCTTCTGGCTTTCCCACCAATATCCTATATGCATTTCTCGTCTCCCCCATTCGTGCTACATGCCCTGAACACCTCATCCTCCCTGAACTTGATCATTCTAATTATACTTGGAGAAGAGTACAAGTTATGAAGCTCCTCATTATGCAGTTTTCTCAAATCTCCTGTCACTTCATCTCTCTTCGGTCCAAATATTCTGTGCTCAAACACCTTCAGTTTACGCTACAATCCGAAAAATACATGATCAGCCTGGGTGCTCACCAGATATAAACAGGGCCATATCCTGGCTGTTGGCGCCCACGATCCATGGTATCTTTTTGAATTTGCCTGCCCGTATCAGATCCAGCGGGTCTCCGGGAAGAAACGGCTCAGGGTTGCGGGACGTCTTGTGCTCCGGACAGGGGGTGTACAACATGTCCTCCAGAATTAGTGGCACCTGCCGAGGGAAGAGCCACACTCGATCAGAACGTCTCGAACCAATGCGACTGAGCTGTGACCACTTCTTTACTCTCAGCCAGTAGTTCCGAGGCCCCCCTCATATGAATAAAGGTGTTCACGCCCTCCCAGCTTATGATATAGGGCTTAAAAAGTGATTCGTGACATGTCCACCCAAAACCCAGAGCTGTGGAGCCAGAAATGACGGCCGTTGATGGGAAACGGTTAGGTACAGAAGCTTCCGCGCAACAGGTAAAAGGTAAATTTATCGATGTGCTCAACTAATTAAGCACTACTGTTGATTGCGTACAGGGGGGGTGGATGTATTATCCACATTTTCTTGACCTCGGCACTAGTGGCCAGCTTCACGCCCCGGCTACTTTACCCTCCGGAAATGTCCCCGGTACCCACTGAAAAGGAGGTTGGGTGGACCCCACAGCCGGTCTGGACGACATGGAGAGGAGAAAATTCTTGACCCTACCGAAACTCGAAATCAGGCCCCTTGGTCGTCCGAACCGTAGCCAGTCGCTATTCCGACTATGCTACCATAGTTCCTCACTGACAACAGATACGCATGCAAAAATATGAGCATTGTTGGAGGCTGTGTTTTCTATGCGGTACGTGCAGAGGCTATATAAGAACTAATCAGAGCCCGAAACAAAGAACGACTGTGCTGGACTCAGCTGGACTGGATTTTTGAGAGATTTACGACCCTGGGTTAGATGTGAGAGGGTCACCAGCCAGCGGGGACGGAAGCTGTGAGATCCGTGACCACGTAGCGCATAGTGAAGTCACGAAGATGCAGTGCGTGTCCTACTGAAGTGTAAACTGCGTAAATTAGTGCAACGGATATAAGTACTTGCAGTTTCAGTCTGAAAGGGTACAATAAACCCGATTACCAATCCAAACCCCATGTCTAGTCACTTAACACGTGACAACTTAATACTGATAACTCAGTAAGCATAGCGACGGGCTGGACAACTTATCCAAAGTTCCTTAGTTTTGTTCAATATGAATACAGAACAACAACAACAAAAACAACAGATAAATAAATAAGGATGGTGCGCGGAGGCAATATCGAAACACAGAACACAATTCTGTGCCGTGCGAGTACTCTATAGTGTAGGTGCAAGGGCCTACTTACGGAAGGATATGTCTTGACCAGCAGCACGGGATCTGTGTTCCTGAGACAGGCGACAATGGTCGACGTGTTTGCAGTGGAGCAGTTGACGAGCTTGGCCTGTTTCTGGGCCATACCCAAAGGGTCAGGGCAACTCGCCCAGGGGCTGATGGCAGTTCCGGCCATGGAAATAGCGCGGTGGAACAAACCTGCGAATAAGTGTGACCTCTTCAGGAAAACGGGGGGAGAGAGAAAACAAAAATAAACAATAACAGAAAGAGATGAAAGAGGGCGTTAAGAAGATATAAGCATACATAATATTAAAATGTGTCTAAAATATACAAAATTGGAGGATGTGGATTGGAATTATGTGGCTCAGGACAGTGACCAATAGTGGAATACTATAAATATGAATATGAACACATTAGGTCCATACCGTGGAGGGAATTGATCTATTAGATTCAAGAGAATAACCTTCGGAGGTGTCACGTGATGTAGATGTCCAAGCACATTTGTGAAAAGCAGGTGAATTTCTGCTTAACTACGCAGTATTATAACTCGAAAAATGATACTCTTAATAATTACTCTTCGAGAACCTCAATTCTAACGTATTGCGAATGAGAGTCAGTAAATAGGTCAAAATTGGAAGTGAAACAACTGTAATTGATGTAATAGGTTCTGTGTGTACCACTAGATAGCAGCACAATCCAGTTACATGACAGTCTAGGTAGCCAAAATCAGTCACAGAGCTCTTGAGGCTAGAAGAAAAGAGATTTCTGCAAGGCGTCTGCTACTTCATAAACAACATCCCCATATATATTTAAAACGGATACGTAAGGAAAGATCAAGAGGAAATGGCACGGACCACTCACAACATTCTCAAATTTATGCTAAGATGTGAATTAACCGCGGGCCCACCGCTACTACAGAAAGAGAAGTTTTTAGAATGTGCTACAGAAGGCCGGATGGGCATTGCCTAGGCCACTTTTGTATCCTAGTTTTTTTTTACCCAATAAAAAAAAAGTCTAGGTAGCAGGTGCGCATGCGCAGTTCAGATGCTGGTTTCAGTAGTAAAAATGGGGACTATGCTTGAGGATGTTATTACCGAAGAGCAGCGTTTTTCTGTGCGTTTTCTGTGGGCAAAAGGACTCAATACAAAAGATATTAATTAAGAAATGATTTCTGTTTATGGTGGTGTTTGTCACATAAAAGAGTTCGGTCTTGGTGGTAAATGTTTCGCTGATGATGAAGTTGCAAACGGAGGTGCGGAAGTGACCGAGACAATAGTTAAAAGACTTTTATGCTGCGGATTTCGACGCACTGATAAAGCAATGGGACAAGTGTATCAATGTTGGTGGAGGATATGTCGAGAAATAAATGTTTTTTTCCTCAGTTCGTTATCAAATATTTTACTTTTTATATCCGTGTCCTATTTGCTGACTCTCGTAATTTCTCAAGGATTCGCTACATGGAGTTAGTCGGCAAGGAAATATTACAGAAAGTTGAGAGAGAAAGCAGAGGAAGGAAGGAAGAAACATGGGAAAGAAAGACTCATTATTTTGTTTCAATTTGCTGGAGTGCTGCGAGCCCCAGTTCCCCAGTACGGTGAGCCCCAGTTCTCCGATACGGTGAGGCCCAGTTTCCCGGTACGATGAGTCCCATTTCCCGGTATTGTGAGACCCAGTTCTCCGATACGGTGAGTCCCAGTTCCCCGGTATTGTGAGTCACAGTTCTCCGGTACGGTGAGCCCCAGAACGGTGAGTCCAAGTTCCCCGCTATGGTGAGCCCCAGTTCCCCAGTACTGCAGTCTAAAATGGCCTATTATGTCAGCCCCCGACGGTAGATTAATATGTTCCCTTTGAAATAAGGAAATAATAATATTCGTCAATATGCAAAGCCATGTTTCACGGATCCTACTGGAATTTAACAATTCAATCCATTACCCTTCCCCTTCTAGACTCTAGGGACAGTGTAGCGTGTATCTTGAGAGTTTATGAATCCCAGCGAAAAACTAATCGTCACTGGATTATATTGTGACATGTAGACCCGTTGCTAGGTAATGGTAAAAACAGAAGGGGCCGCGCCATAGCTCAAGTGGTTAGTCGCTGGCCTCCGACCGCTGCGGCCCGCTTCGATCCCGGGTCTGGTCAAGTGGGATTTGTGGTGGACAAAGTGGAGGTGGGGCGGGTTTTCTCCGAGTACTTTGATTTCCTATGCCAATCTTCATCCCACCAAATTATCCATCATCATAATCACCCGGGGCAGGCTACAATAGGTCAATCAGTGGCCGCCGTGCCGAGTGGACCCAGTTGGACTCCACCCCCCACTAAGCGAAAGGTAAAAACAGACAGGAAACAACATAAGAAAAGCTGTTGAAAGCGGTATTTTCTGTTTGGTCCGTGCCAACGCTGTATAGCGAGGACCAGCTGCTGTTATGTAGGAGTCTTGTGTAGGCAGTCAGAAGGGTAGGAGGTTGGTGTGAGATGGTCGTCAGTCTGCGAGTTAGAGAGCTGGAGGAATGAATGAGTTATGGGAATGTCTCTAGAGGATACGTTGGGGATCCGTCACCAGGCAACGACTGGTGAAGATACAGAAAATTTAGTGCGTGCTGTAGTGGACAGCAGAGCGATAGTGTTACAGTTACCTGTTCCGGATGAAGAATACAGCTTATAAGAAACGAACTCTTGTGAGTTCTGATGAAACTATATCAAAATTTGTTGAACTGTTACTGAATTTATGGATTTGTAAGAATATTAAGACAATTGAAAAAAACGCAGAAACCCTGATACAACAATTATAAGACATGGTGCTCCCACTTATATAAACAATACATTGTTGGTTCTAATTCTACGCGATATAAATCAGATATTACCTTCGGAAAATGGGGAGAGAATGTGACAGTGGACCAGTGACCCCCCTGCACTTTGTCCGAAGATTGTGACGCTGTTGGGGTTCCCCCCAAATGCTGCGATGTTTTTCTTCACCCAGAGCAAAGCTGCAGTTTGGTCCTTCAACCCATAATTCCCAGGGGATTCATCGTCTCCTGTACTCAGAAATCCTAGAACATCCACAGAAATTCAGTCCAGTAATACAGTGAAGAAATGTCTATAAGCTGTAAAAATGTGTAAAAAAAATAAGTAAAGCTATCTCTGTAACAGGCCGTGATGGCCCATAGGGTTGTGAGACGTCAAGGCTCCCACATTCTCTCTAGACAACCCGCTCACAGACTGCGGTGAGGTTGTCAGCCTTACGCTCCGGCCACTTTACTCCCCAGAAAAATTATTTAATTAATTCCTGGTACTCATTAATGTTAGAGGCTGAGTCGACCTGAGGGCCATAGTGCGGCTGGAAGGATTAGGTCAATTGAAAAAAAAATCCAATGACCTCATCAGGATTTGAACCCGCGACCTTCCGGTTTGTAGTATAGTGCCTCAACCAACAACGCTACCGCGTGCCCCCCCTAAAAATATGTAACAATGGTATATTAATTAATTATTAACTTTTTGGAGATTATCCACCGTCGCTCTTTTCTGTTTCGGAGATATAACGAAGACAGAGCTAAGGAAGAAACCAACGTGAAGCAGGTAGAAATCAGAGCAGTTCTTTGCCGACAAATTTTCAGCCCTGTTTCCTATATAATCCGAAATTTTGACAAGCCCATTAATTTCCTTTTTACTTGATTTCACGCTGATTACTTGCTTGGCTTATTCTTCCACCCTGAAGATGGGATAACGTATTCCTCCGAAACGTCAGCTGACTTTCAACGGACTATATGGAATCATATCCCTGAAGACAGAACTCTTTTTAACCATCGGTCTGAACACCTCAAATCCTACAATATAAATATAAATTTTACGTGTCATATTATTGTACATAATGGATAATTCTTAGGGCAATCTTATCCAAACATACGAGTGCATCTCCTCTGACAACAGTTGCCTATATAAAAGATGTGTGTACAATGTCACATACTAAAAAATTAGGAATGTATTCGAAAAGCACCCTGTTAAAGAGGAACATAATTTTTCGACTGGATTATATTTTGTTGCAACTTGTCTTACCATATACACCTAATCTGTAATTGATGGAAACGAAAACCACGTTTTTGTCCATGAGGTACTGGGCTGAGTACTGCTCTGATGAACCACTATAAAAAGCGCCGCCATGAATCCAAACCATCACATTAAGTTCGCCATTTTGTTCGTTATGGCTTCCATTTTGTTCCGGCAGCTGAAACAGAAGCCACTCTATACAAGATCCTAAGTATTTATGATAGTGAACAATTGCTTTATGGCCATCATTCTGTCTAGAGTCATAACCAAAAGAAAATCTGTGATTATAAATTTATATAAACAAAATCGTTCTAACATTCAATGCTGAAAACGCTCGTGTAAATTATGAGGCAAGTCACATATGGATTAAAACGTAAAATATGTGATATTCGAAACTGAAAAAAAAACATTTATTTCTCGAAATATCCTCCACTAACATTGATACACGTGTCCCATCTCTTTACCAGTACGTCGAAACCCACAGTATAGAAATATTTTGACTTTCGTCTCAGCCACTTCCGCATCTCCATTTCAACTTCCTCATCAGTAAAAATTTTCCATCAATGCGGAACTGCTTTACGCGAAAAACACTTCCCACCGTAAACAGGAAACATTTCTTTATGAATATCCTCTGTATTGAGTCCTTCTGCCCACAGAAAATGCACAACAGAACGCTGCTCTTCGGTAATACATTCCTCAAGCATGGTCGTCATATTTACTACCGAAATCAGCGTCTGAGCATGCGCATGAGCGTCTGCTATCTAGACTGTTGTGAAGTTGGAATGTGCTGCTACCTAGTGACGCACACAAAAAAGTTATTATTACATCTGTTTTGCTTCCTTTTGTGACATATTTATTTACTCTCCCTCGTAAAACATTCAACACAAATGAACCAGGGTCTGAACTGTCCTCGACAGCACACAGAATATTATTTTGGGAAAATTACTTTTTGTACCGTTGCTAAACTTGGTCCCGTACTTTGAAAGAATTAATTCAAAAGGGAGTTCTCACCAGCGGTGTGAAGATGTTGAGAATCAGACAATCTTCGGTGCCAACCACGAGGCCGAGCGGGGTGACTTGCATGCACAGAGACCCGGGTTCTGTAGCATCCAGTTCTCCTTCCCATGCTGTCGGGGGCTGAGTGTCCTAGAGACAATATTCACCGACAGATATATAATAACCCCGGCCTTGTAAGCGATATAAATAGAAAAAGGATGGAGTTGAAAGGGGATTTGACTAAAAAATACTAAGCATGGGTGATTAATAGGGGGTTTAAAGCAAGTGAGGAGGAAAAATAAATTTATAAGGCCCAGAAGAGGAACCTGGAAGATGTAGAGAATGATTTACGAGATCTGAAAATGAAAAGCTGGAGCCAAATATAAGAAGACTAGGCCTCTTATAATGAGAGTCAAGATTTTTAGAGGACCTTACATTGGCGTTACGTGCTCAGTAATATGCAGGTACCATTTAAAATTAAAATTCGCTTAGTGGGGGTTGGAGTCCAGCTGGGTCCACTCGGCACGGCGGTCACTGATTGGCCTATTGTACCCTGCCCCTGGTGATTATGATGATGGAGAATTTGGTGGAATGAAGATTTGTAGGAGAAACCAAAGTACTAGTAGAAAACCATCCCCAGCGCCACTTTGTCCACCACAAATCCCACTTGACGAGACTAACGCCAAGATAAAATTGACTAAAGCAGACGGAAAGAGGCTCAGGAAATGTGAAAAGCATCATATTAATCATTCTAAAGAATTAAACAGTGTCTTCTTAGCACAGTTTTATTCTGGTATACTATTAATTCACTATTTTCGTAATACACAATTTATAATTTAATATAAAATGATTTAAGGGGTACTTTTGAATTAGAAGAAAACGTCTCACTGCAGGAAAGTGTCAGTTGGCGGAATATCAGGTTTTAGAAATAATAATCAATCTATACAAATGTTAGTCGCACAAAGTGGCCGCTCCATAGCTCAAGCGGTTAGTCTCTGGCTTCCAACCGCGGCGGCCCGGGTTCGATCCCGGGTCTGGTCAAATGGGATTTGTGGTGGGCAATGTGGCGCTGGGGCAGGGTTTCTCCGAGGACTTTGGTTTCCCCTGCCAATCTTCATTCCACCAATTGCTCCACAATCACCCTCACTTATCATCTGGGGCTGGTACAATAGGCCAGAAGTGGCCGCAGTACAAGGGACTTAGTCCCACCCCACTAGCAATAAAAAAAATAATTGGACAAGCCGTTTCCTGTTTTGTATGCGCAAGTTCATCGTTCATGATGTGTTACTAGCGTCCAGAATATTACTCAAGTAAGTGAATGAATGATTTACCCGCTCCCAGAAAGGGGCACACGTTCTGTAAGGGGAAATCTGTCAGTCCTACCAACATGAATTACTCACTCTGAACCTTAGCAATCCGGTTGGCGGCTTCGCGTAAGGGATTCCCTGGAAGGAGTAGAAAGTCCTGCCCTTCGCAGATGTCATAGTCTTCCCTTTCATGACCCCCTGTTGTACAGTCACACGTATTGCACCTGAATCAACAGCCTGCGACAGGGGTGTACAATTAAACACAAAACTTGTATAACAAATTTCTCACACAAATTCTCTGCAGTAAATAACCATTTTTTACTTTCAATATTAAAAGGTAATAAAATAAATTGTTACGTTAAGAGAAGTGTTCATATTAAAGGTAAAGTTATCCCCGTACTTAATTAATTGAGGACAACGCCATGAGGACGTATGGGGGAGTGGAAATATAGCTCCACCATTCTTGAATTCTCACACAAATTCTCTGCAGTAAATAACCATTTTTTACTTTCAATATTAAAAGGTAATAAAATAAATTGTTACGTTAAGAGAAGTGTTCATATTAAAGGTAAAGTTATCCCCGTACTTAATTAATTGAGGACAACGCCATGAGGACGTATGGGGGAGTGGAAATATAGCTCCACCATTCTTGAATTCAGCACTAGATGGAAGTGAGCGTTCAGCTTCAGGCAACAGCCTCTTTACTCCAGAGGAAATAATACTCAATACAGAGCAGATCATGTCTAGCTTACGTATCTTATGCTACAACGGCAGCTTAGTCACTTGAACGGTCGTAAGCTTGACCAGCACCAAGTTTAAGTTTGTTTACCGAACCGTTTCCTATCAATGGACGCCTGCTCTGCCTCTGTCATTCCAGTTCTCAGCGTCATGTAACAATATGATTTGTATTTCAGTAGTGGCGCAAGAAATATTTCGGGAACCACTAAACTAATCGGTGGTGGTAACTAAACGAAAATGTTTGCCAGAGGTTTTCTTTGAAGACTCCGCACGGATTACACAGAAAACACGGCTTCTAGGCCTCTGTTGGTGATGAAGTTTGTTTACCGCTCTGCTTTTAGCAATAGAATTTATTGTTTCATGCTACTGTTTTTCAGGGATGAGTTTACAGGCCCGTTGTCTAATAATGGCCTTCTGCTTTTTCGTTGCTATTCCGGCTTTTTAAACAGTTGTTTAGAAACGGTCCTTATGTCACAGTATATTAGATAATACTATTAATTTAAATAGGAAGATAATATTTCGTGTATAATTCTTATTTAAGACGTAATATGAATTTTGAGTTCAAACAACAATGTATAGTGTTCTGTTTCTGGTTGTTATGTTGGCCCGTAGCTTCGTGTCTGTCCAACTTCTAATTCAGACGGCAATTAAAAAGGAAAAGGAAAATGGATTCAAACTCATTATCAGAAACTTGTGTATAATGAAATTATGTATTTGTAGGAACATATTTCTTTGAAGGTGTTTGGTATATTGTGGCGTGTAATGTGTGCCCCTGAGACTTCTTGATACATTAAGGGGGTATTGTTTTAGATAAGCTTGTTCTGAGTTCCTAAAAACTTCCATTTCGTTTTAGTTTGAAGCGCTTCTTTTCTGATAGCTCTTACTGTTTCTTCAATTGAACGCATGCCACACTAACCTGTCTTTCTTACATAAACCGTCAGATTTATTACGAATAAACGTATCAGCGTTAACACAGTCACCTAAGCAGCGCTTGAATTTTGTATATCCAATTAAATTTTCTGAATAATTAGGAGTTACATAACTTGTACTCTTCTCCAAGTATAATTAGAGTGATCGACCAAGGAAGATAAGATAGGCAGGGCATGTAGCACGAATAGGGACGAGGAGGAATGCACATAGGATATTGGTGGGAAAGTCAGAAGGAAAGAGACCACTGGGAAGACCAAGGCGTAGGTGGGTGGACAGTATTAAAATAGATCTTAGAGAGATAGGATGGGATGGGATGGATTGGATTGATCTGGCTGAGGATAGGGACCAATGGAGGGCTCTTGTGAATACGGTAATGAAATTTCGGGTTCCATAAAATGCTGGTAAGTTATTGACTAGCTGCTCAATTGGGAACTTCTCAAGAAGGGTCCAACCCCATGAGTGAGTGAATTAAATTTTCTTGATGATGTTTTTAGTTTGGATAGTAAGCCTACATGCGCAGTGGTGCGTTGTCTAAGACATGAAATGTCTTCAACCCCCCACCCCTTAGAACACTGGGATAGTGGGTTCGATTCCCACTCAAGGCATGAATATTTGTGTGCGTTTATTCTGTGTTTGTGTTGCCCATTGTGTAGGTAGGGGCCTTGCGACAGGCTGATCCCCCGTCCAAGGAGTTCAACAGACAGCGTATAAGAATGAGAAACTTAAAATCGGCCAAGGTCCAACATAAAGATCTGTAGGACCATAGATAGAAAGTAAACTTATATTAACTTGTTATGATGATTAGAAAATAACAGGACCTACAATTCCACCACTGTTACCTAAGTCAAGACAGTACCTCGGAATACATCTGAAGGACTGACTGAAAACTACTACAATCCTCAACAAAAATGGCTGTTTTCCGCCCCAAGGGTTGAACCTGGGATCTCCCAAATGTAAAGCAAGATATCCGAATATTCTACGGTGACGATCTGTCACTATTATTATTAATATTAGCCTTATATTATATATTATATTCAGAGTCGACTGCATATCTCGCTCTGAACTTACTTGCGAGACATGTGCTGCCATCTGGAGAGCGCAACTGACAATTAACGCCGCCATATGCCTCCGCCATTTTGTCTGCATTGTCCTGCGTTTCGTTGCGATCTCACAAGAACTGGAAATCCTGAAAGGGCGAAGCCTGAAATCTAAAACACAAGAATGTAATTTTGCTGCTGTACTGTATGGGTATGAAACTCCGTGTCTAAAATTAAGGGATGAATACAGAATCTGTGTGGGGAGGAGAACATTTGCATCCATGATAGACAGGAAGAAACATGAAGATGGAGATAGTTATATACATATCGAATAACTTGATAATTTTTCGCCTACTCTTTACCTGATATTAGAGTGACCAAATTAAGGAAAAGAGGAATGAAGGGGGCTGCATGAAACAAAAGAAATATAAGCTAAATTTGTATTCGGAAAACCTGAAGGGACTATACTAAATTTTGGAGGCTTCGGAATGGATTGGATGAATCCACTGTGTGTCTTTCTGCTTCATTTATTTGATACATTTCAATATTATCATTCAATCTATGCCTAGATCTCACAATTTCCCCCCCCCATAGATTTCCCGACCAAAATCCTTTTTGCATTTCTGGTACTTCTATGCATGCTACTTGTCTTGTATTCCTTTTATTTATTCATTCATTTATAGTGCCTGGTGAAGAGCACGCATTGTGAAGCCCAGTACGAAATTATCTTCAGCTTCGTGACTTCCAAATGTTCTTAGTTCCCCTTTCTCGAACTTTCTCCGTGTTTTCTTTTCCTGAGATAAGTAAAAAGTAAGTAAAGCTGTCCCTGTAACAGGCCATGGAGGCCCATAGGGTTGTAAGACGTCGAGGTTCCCACATTTTCTAGACAATCGGCTTACAGGTGGCGGTGAAGTTGAGTAAAGGTATCCATGTAACAGGCTGTGGAGGCCCATAGGGATGTGAGCTGTCGAGGCTCCCACATTTTCTCTAGACAATCGGCTCACAGATGACGGTGAGGTTGTCAGCCTTACGCGCTGGCCGCCCTTTACCCCCAAGAATATTCCTGGTACTCATTGCTGTTACAGGCTGAGTAGACCCCAGGGCCATAGTGCGGCTAGGATTAGGTAAATTGAAAAAATCCACCTCATCGGGACTCGAACCCACGATATAACAGCGAGCGATACAGTTTCTTTTATATTTTAATCTTTTATGTGAACAGACAAAATATGATAATTATAGGTTTTTACTTACGAATCGTTAACAATACAAGACGGTTACTGTGTGTACAAATTTCAGTTCTTTCCCAGGCAGTTTCGTTTTCACTGGAGACTCTGTCTGTGTATGTCGCCGGTGAAAATCCTGCGATTCTGTCGAAGTCCAGCACAGCTTCCGAACCATATATAAACCCGGCTGTGACAAAAGCCAGAATGGAGATAGCGTAACAACATTTGGACATGAAGAATGAGTGGGAAACCCCTATATTTCATTGCCTTGTCAAGAAATAAAATTATCTGCAGTAAAAACCACCCACTATCTTTCAGAATGACACTTGAGTGAAAGAAAAATATAATGCAAACAATACAGCAATAAAATAAAAAACTGAAGGCGAAATGTTATCAACGGCAGTTTCCGGGTAGCGCAGTCAGTGCAGGGACGAGGCTACGACGCAGTAATTTGGGTCAGATAATCAGCACACCCGCCGAGACGGGGCTATGGGGACCACCCGGTCTTCACACCTACATCCTATAATTTGTAGTGCCAGGTTAGTCGCCGACTTCCCGCGGCAGCGGCCCGGGTTCGATCCCAGGTCAAGTCACGTGTTATTTGTCGTGTACAAAGTGGCACTGGTGCATGTCTCCTCAAAGTACTTCGGTTTCCCCTACCAATTCTCATTCCACAGATTTCTCCACGTTTATCTTATCTAACATCCGGTGCTGGTACAATAGGACAATTTTTATCTTCATTTTATGCATCCTGTTTTGTTACAATATACGACTTTATTTTTCCGTCACAACACAACAACTAAGGAGTATCAAGGTCAATACCCAGCTATGCCTCACTAAATGTTTCGGCCGTTAACGGCCATCATCAGGTGAATACAAATCAACAAACATATACTATTGAACTGTAGTAAAATTAGATACAATGACAAAATAGTTAATTCTTTTGTGTAAAAATACAGCGGTAATTTGTATATAAAACTGAAGGTTATAATATAAAACAAGATTAAAATTTATGTTTTGTAACATCTGATCAGTCGTATGTTTACTTTATACGTTACGTGGACAAAATAAAAATTTAAGATGGTATTCGGGGCTCACGACCTTGTAAGTTAATTAATAGAGTAGAGGTGACTCATCATACGAAAGAAATTGTCCGTACTGTGTGAGGAGTAAACAACGACAATCAGTGGCCGATGTACCAAGTGGTCTCAGTCTCACCCCCACCCCAAGAAACTACATTGCATAATTCTGTGTTGGTAAAGTAAGTGGTTACATCCGGGAAACCCGGAAATTGTTTCACGATAGCTGTAGGTATTTTTCTCTTCAAATCGTGTTTAGGTCAGCTCAGGGTTAACCCAAATCACCTGTCAAACGTGTATCAGTAGTCGTTCCCTTATAGTAAAGCTGTAGGAGTGTGAAGCTACTCACTAATCTCAGTACAAACGTTACACATGTCTGGAAGTTTGTCTGAAGGTACCAATGGCGTTATGTTCAGCATAGGAACAATTTCTTTTCCTCCATTTGCATAAATATTGCATTGGTTGGAATGGAGAATGACAATCATGAACTGGAAGGTACATGGTAGGAACCGGTAATGCCTTGCTGGATGGTAATATTTACGTCAATGGCGCTAAGTCATAACAGCCGGCCTCTGGACCCACACTCCAAAGTGGAACCATTGCGACAAAAAAGGGAAAGTTTGTTTCCCGTGTAAGATCTAGAAAAACCGAAGTGAACGGAGAAGTTCATGGAGGTAGGCCTAGGCCCACTGGGGCTGTAGTGCCAAGGAAAAAAAAGTTTGTTTCTGTGCTTAATTAATTAAACATAAGGGGGAGTGGAGGTATAGCTCCACCATTCGTGATCACGGCAATAGGTGGAAATGAGTGGTCAGCTTCACGACCCGGTCGCCTAAATTCCGGGGAAACACCCCCCCCACTACCAATTGGATAGGAGGCTGGGTGGGCCCCAGTGTCGGTCTGAACGCTGTGGAGAAGAGAAAAAATTTCCCTCTGCTGATAATCGAACACCGATCGTCCACCCTTAGTCCGTCACTATATATATTGAGCTATCCCGCCTCTGTCTAGTATTTCTATTATGACCTATCAGGTCATTCACTTCTGTTAGAATCGAACACTTGGTGCTTTACTTGCGTTTCTGTTCGTAGACATAGTGTAACTTCTTCATGTTTATCGAAGTGAAATATATTTCGAGTTGGACCACAAGATTTTTTTTATTGCTAGTGGGGTGGGACTAAGTCCGATGTACTGCGGCCACTTCTGGCCTATTGTACCAGTCCCAGATGCTAGGTGAGGGTGATTGTGGAGCAATTGGTGGAATGAAGATTGGCAGGGGAAACCGAAGTACTCGGAGAAAAACTTTTCCAGCGCCACTTTGTCCACCACAAATCCCACTTGACCAGACCTGGGATCGAACCCGGGCCGCCGCTGTGGGAAGCCAGCGATTAACCGCTAGAGCTATGGCGCGGTCCTGGACCACAAGTTACACAGAAAAATGAAACGCACGTTTTGTACCCGATCAACGTTTTCTTCAGTCCTGTGGTTTTCGGGAAATTTAAGAAGAAAATGTGTCAGAATTGTTATGCTATGCATAAATTACCTAATTATATGTTGTTAATATACACACGTGCAGTCACCATACACATAAATATTGGTGCTAGACATAACAATCTTTGCCCTAAATTGCAAGAGAGATAAGAGACAATGGGAAATCCCCTGTTAATCTACTGTTCCGTGAAAGAGTTACGAATAGGAACGACTTTGCGCGTGCTTCACTCAGCCGGACTTGTGGAAGACGGCCATTTTGATACATGTTGACGTTGCGGAGAGATCCTGCCACAGTTCAATTAGGTAGTTTTCAGCTCTGCAAATCCTGTGGGAATACCTTACAGTAAGTAACTACTTCCTTCTACATTATCCCCGGCATTTCATTCACAAATCAACATACAATTCGAGGTTGTACATATGAACAAGTATGTGTATCACTAATCGATTATTCGAGACATCGACATTATCGCTATTACACAAATACACCCAAGGTTGACGTTCCCAGTCAGTCGACGATAGCTAATGCGCATGTGCACTGGTTAAGTTAACAAACTGTTACGCCGGCCAGCCATTCTGGTAAGTCTTGTCAGTGTTTACCAAGTTTCAAAATATAATTAATAAAATTATTGGGTCATAAAATGGAAAAAAAGTACTTGTTTCTTTAATAGCTAATGGACGCCTTTTTCGTGGGAAAAAATTTACCTCGATTAAAGGGGAGAATGATTGTATTAAACATTCAATTCTGTGACTTCCTCCAATTCACAAGAGGTCGAAATATCTTCCTCATGAATTTATTCACAAATAGCCTGAATATATGAAGCTTATTTCAGTTTCGAATGTGACGTTATTTAATTTGGTTGATGTTTATGATGTTTGGATGCTGGTACTGACGTCGTTTTGTATGTGTTGAGAGGTAAGACGCCGAGAAAGCAACTAGAAAGCGGATCACACCTCACGAACAACAAGTTTATTGCATAAAGCTTTCATACTCGGCTTATTCTTTGATACCTTGAAAATGGCAGGAGTTCTGTCTTCCGAAGCTCTGGTACATTTCTATCATACTATACGGCTTCATACCCCAGCAAACAGTAATCTTCACAGTCACCGATATGAGAACTTCAATACTATTTTTATTTCCTTTATCTCTTCAAATTACCACAGTCTATTTTGCAGCTTACCATACATTTCACAGGATCATTAACAATATAACGTTTTAAGATGGGGTAATAAAGGAAGAGCATTAAAAAGACATAAAATAAAAACTCCGTGGACTATAGTCCGCAAGCGAACTATACCGACCGAGCGACCGCCGCTTGTCGATGAATTTAGTGCCAACTTTTGCGGATAGAGGGTGTCGCGTGGTCAGCACAACGGATCCCCACGGCAGTTAATTTCAGTTTTATAGACCGGAGCCGCTATTTCGTTTAAATAGCTCCTCAAATATCATCACGAGGCTGAGTGGACCCCGTTCCAGACCCACTACTTCTCAGAAAAAAATCTGGTAGCGCCGGGAATCGAAGCTGGACCTCTGGATCTGTAGCCAGGAACTCTGACCACTAGATCACAAAGGTGGTAAAGGAAAAGCATTAGACAAAATATCCCAAGGTTTGAAATTTCGTTTTTATTGTGCCCTTATTCAGAAAGTCACTGCTTTTAATCGTGTCTTATTGACTAGACACGGGGTTTACATTGGATAATTGGATCTCGGAATTAGATGGAGGAGAGTGGTTAGCTTCACGCTCCAGCCTCGCTGCCCCCCGGTAGAAGGCTGGGTGGGCCCAAGGTCTGGTCTGGACGATGTGGAGAAGAGAAAAACCTGTTATTCGCGGTTTGTTTTATTGTCTAATCTCGGAAATCACATACGAGTAAAGTGATACAAAAACATATCCATGAATTAATCTCCAAATTTCAGTTCTCATTTAATGGCAAAGAGTCCCAGAAATCCATGCGTTCCTTGTCCAGATCCTCAGCCATATTGATCTTGACGGGTCCCAGGTTTTCGTTCAGGAATTCGGTGGGAGATCCCAGGATAACTTGCCCGATGTTGAAGTACCGGGTGTGCATGTTCTCTGGGCCGACGTCCCTGGCTGTGAACCAGGTGATTTTGTCTAGGAGACGGCTGCTGTCAGGGGGTTTGTTCGCGGGTGTCGGGTTTCTGAAACATGGGAAAATATAAACATTTCTGTCTTCTGGGATATCATGCCGTGTTATGTAGTTAAGTATCGAAGCTTCGGAGGAAAATACTGTCTCATTCTTCTCTCTTATCCTGAATATGGAGACTGAACGCAGAAAAAAAGTAAAGTTATCCCTATAACAGGCCATGGAGACCCCCATAGGATGGTGAGGCTCCGACATTTTCTAGATAATCGGCTAGCAGATGGCGGTGAGGTTGTCAGCCTTACACGCCGGCAGCTTTCATGCTGTTTTGACCTTCAAGATGGAGGCGACACGTTCTCCCGAAACGTCAGTTGTCTTTCAACACGCTACACAGCGATATATCCCAGAAGATAGAAATCTCCACAGTCACCGCTGGGAGAAATCTAAATCCTAAAATCCTATAATCCTCCTGTACAATAGGAACCGGGGAATCTTTCTCTGAGGGTAAAGACATAGGGGCGTGAAGCTGACCACTCACCTCCATATAGTGCAGAGGTCAGGAATGGTGGAGCAATAACTCCAATCTCCCGCTAAGTGTTCATTAAGTTGTGGTTAATTAATTAAACAGAGAAACAGCTTTACCTTTACCTGAATATTATAATGAAACTAAACCAAAACGAGATATATACCTAATATTGCACCACAAGGACTGGTTTATAGCCTCGTTTGTGACAGAAGAGTGAACAAAGTGAAGCTAGAGGTTAGGATTAGGATAGGTTAGGTCAGAGTTAGGTTAGAAGCACTTCCGCAACATTAAATCTAGAAGGATCTGCTCTAATTTCTGATATTCCGAGCCGCCATTTTAGGTTGTCAGATATGCTCTTTTTTTGTGAGAAAATATGCAGAGAAATATTTCATCTCTATGTAGTTCACATAAAAGGCCAACAGATGGCATATTCTGTCAGATATATCAATTTTTGTAAAAAGGTCGACATTTCGATATTTGGCACTTGTAGGATTAAACTGTGGTACTCACTCGAATTTTGCGAAGTTTGTCCACAGGTTGAGGATAAGTTCGCTGACCTCCTTGTCATTTTCTGAATATGGCCAGAAGAAGGACATCGGAAAAATGTACCTCCTTTCATCAACGTGACCCACTCCTGCGTCAGGGAAAGAAAACAAATACAACTCGGTACCATTCGACTAAGGTCAGTTGTTGAGACAGTGTCAAACGAAAAGTGGCTCACGAATTTTATTAAGTGGATGCAAACACATGATTATCATAGGTTCCTATTAAATTCCAATCAGGGGAATCACCTTGCTGCAAACACGTGTTTATAGTGCCTTCCTATTAACTGCCAACCAGGGAAATCGCCGTGCTGCAAACACATGATTATCGTGGCTTCCTATTACCTACCAACCAGGGGAATCACCGTGCTGCAAACACATGTTTATCGTGGCTTCCTATTACCTGCCAACCAGCGGAATTACCGTGCTGCAAACACATGATTATAATTGTGATAATAGTTGTGATAATTATCATTGCTTCCTATTAACTGCCAACCAGGGGAATCACCGTGCTCTGCTTCTTACAGCAGGTTAACTGGCATTCAGGATTTAAAACACAGTGATACAGAACGCGATTTAATGAAGCCTGTGAATATAGCAACTAAAAATAGTCTCTAAATATGTATGCTACAGGAATGACGCGAGAAAAATACACTCTGGAAACGATCTCCTGGGATGTAATGCCGTGCAGATTTGTAGATAGTTATCATAAGTTTCGGATTAGCATGGGGTTTTGTTCTTCATATTCTACCCTGAAGAGAGAACAAGCCATTTCCTCCGAAACGTTCATACCTATCTATGAAACTACATGACGTCACACTTCATAAGCGCAAGTCTCACGTGAATCTCGGTTTGTTTCTCGGAATCCGCGAACGGAGTGTAAAATTGTGCTGATGAGGCCTCTGAAGAAGGGACGGGAGAGATAGAAAAGATAATGGAGGAAGAGAATATTATTAAAAATGAAATGAAGGGACGTGGAAATAAGAGGAAGTCGGAAGATAAGTGGGAAGTGTGGAAATATATTTAAAATTTTCTTCTTCCGGGATATAACGGCGTGTAATATGTAGCCTGCTTTATGCTGACATCTTCCCTACCTCCCTACCCTACCTCCCTCTTCAACGCTGAAGATGGAGGTGACATATTCTTCCGAAACGTCGGATGACTTTCGCCGGACTACACTGCGTCATATTCTTCATACGAGAATCTCAAATCATGTAGAAGTTAAACTATCCTGAGGCGAAATTTCCCAGTGCAAAGAAGGCACTGTACTTACCGTAGTTTCGGAGTGACGTCAGGTAAGTCGTTGAATAAAACCCTCTATACGCTAAGTTATACCAGAATATTTTTTCATGTCCCACCGAAAGATGCAGATCCACGGATTTCTTCACCGGATGTATGAAGTGTCGGTCCGAGAACCCCTAAAGAACACAAAATTAGATTTATTCGGAAAGAGGTCTGCAGAGGTGCATTACGGTAGATGGAAGAACTATTACATACATATTTATAGAGTTTCAGATGTAGGGAACATGAACGCAGCACCAGAACAAACCTAAACGTCATTCCTCGCACACATAACAAGAAATAACAGCCTACGTTTCTTTGTTAAGACATGGACCGCATAGAAAACGACGCCCCCAAAAATTAGTTTAAGCGCGAACGTCTTTAACGAATTGTTACCTAACAAATTTAGGGGTGATACACAGACCTACACTCTCCTTTGATACGACACGGACCGCATAGAAAATAACGCCTCCAACAATTCTTCGTTGCCGTGGGAACGTCTTTACCGGGTTGTTACCTAGCAACTTTCGGGGAATATGCATACAGACCCACACTCTCCTTTGATACGACACGGACCGCATAAAAAACGAGGCCTCAACAATTCTTCGTTGCCGTGAGAACGTCTTTACCGAGTTGTTACCTAGTAACCTTCGGAGGATACACAGACCCAAACTCTCCTTTGTTCCGACACTGCTCACTGCAAGGGAAGAGTGTACTCTGCCTTCAGTTACTGAACCTATAACTCGTTGTCTTGTACGCGCTTGTACAGTGTACACTGTATACTTCTAAAATCCTGTCTCTGTGCTTGTGTTTTCGCGTGAAGGTTGAGTTCTTGCAATGGGCTAATCCCTCGTTCAAGGAGTCCTAACAAAAGCCTAAAACAAGGCTGATAAAATCATAAGAGAATTCCAAATTGGAAATCTCCGGTCCTTGTAACCCATAATGACCAAACGAGGGCTTACCAAGTCAACTGCAAGACAACATTGTGCCAAATTAAACAAGTTGTTAGTCACGAATCTAACGGTAAAAATTCACAGGCCTTGTATTTGACTTGGCCTCTAGGTTTCGCATGAGAAGTACGGCAAAGTGACAGGGCAGTGGTTGCAGCTATACTGTGGAGGGGAATTAGTTTGATGCATTGTAATTAAGATCCTTTATAACCCATACACACCTTAATGACCTTATCTTCATTAGTGAACCCATCCACTGCCGGTCACAGTGGCCGTGCTGTCTAGGACATGAACTGCCTTCGCTCGCTCGGAAGCCGGGACCGTGGGTTCGGATCTGTTTCCTGTGAGGTACGGACTGAATTCTTATATATTATTCTTATACACTGCCGGTCACAGTGGCCGTGCTGTCTAGGACATGAACTGTCTTCGCTCGCTCGGAAGCCGGGACCGTGGGTTCGGATCTGTTTCCTGTGAGGTACGGACTGAATTCTTATATATTATTCTTATACACTGCCGGTCACAGTAGCCGAGCCGTCTAAGGCATGAACTGTCTTCGCTCGCTCGGAAGCTGGGATCGTGGGTTCGAATCCCACTCAAGGCATATATGTCTAATGTGTGCAGGTAGAGGTCTTGAGACGGGCTGATCCCGCGTCCAAGGAGCCGTACCGACTGTGTATAGGATCAAGAGACTGAAAAAGCGGCAAAGGCCTAACAAAAGGGCTGTACAACTATAATAATACTTACTTACTCATGGAGCTGAGCCCTTCTTGAGGAGCCGCACATTCTGCAGCTACTCAAGAATTTCCCAGCATTTTATGGAACCCGAAGGTTCATTACGGTGTTCACAACAGCCCTCCAGTGGTCCCTATCCTGAGCCAGATCAATCCAATCCATCCCATCCTATCTCTCTAAGAATCATTTTAATATTGTCCACCCACCCACGCCTTGGTCTTCCCAGTGGTCTCG